AGTCCTGGGATCAGCAGAAGTCCATTAAGGGAAACCAGAAATAACAATATCTGTACTTTTAATCTTGATCAAATAAACCAACTTTATGTTCCTTTATGATATTTGATGATTTGTTGCTGAATTTTGCCAGCATGATGCCAGGAAGGAGATAAAACAGAGATACAAAGATTGTGTGATTAGGGCATTAGTTATTCCAGAAAAGACAGAAGTTCACGTGTGTTGATTATATCATTTAACACAATTTAGGATTGAAGCTATGTTGTATGTCTCAGGCAGAATATCCTAGTTCTTATAGTCCCTGAGAACCAATATCAGTCAGTGTCTGCAGTACTGACTTAGGTGGACTAGTAATCTGATAAGAGTATATACAAGTTCCCATATTATCCAAACCATGTTTTTGTCACACACTGCTTGTTCAAACCTATACTGAATCAGCCACAGTCTCCATAGACCTGGAAAACTAGAGATCACTATCTCCCTAAAGGTATGATGCATTAGGTGACACTTTCCTCATACTTTTACTTCCATGTCTTCTTTGTTTTTTTCCCTGCGGTCAACAGGAAGCACACGTGAATCTTACTTAAAGAAAAAATATATATCATGGACAATATTTTCTTAAAGACTGGAAATTCTGTTTTTGAAACAAATGATTATTTTATGTATGGTAGCAATTTTTGATGAAATATTGATCAAAGATCTCTCCTTTAAATATGCATTTGCCCAGCCCAAATCAACAACCTTGTGCTCTATGGGTGTTTTAGGCTGAAGTCTAATAATCTGAATTAAGGATGTTATAGGTTGCAAGGAATTTAGAACCTCTAGTCCAGCAGCTCCACACTCCTATAATAGCTCACATTGTTTAAAGTAAAGTAACCCATGTTTTTCAGAACTGTGTATAATAGCAATTTTGGTGATAATTGCCTGTTATTTTGCAATACATATAGCAAATGGGGAAATAGCTGACAAGAATGCTTTATTATAGCAATATTCCCAAGGAAGTCTGTTATTTAATTTTTGTTTAATAGAATGCTTATTTTGTAACCATAAGGTTTCAGCGATAAGCTACCTGCTGAGGCTTCACTACAGATAAATAACTGGAGGGCAGATCTGTTAGCACTCCGTATGCTGTGTAAATGTATTAACAATCAAGTGCCTGTTAGCTTTTAATTGTTCTTTAGTGTGTCCATAGAGAATGGGCAAGAAGCTTTGCTTGAGGAGAGCATGGGATTGAACTATGTATGTTGCCTTTTGGGGTATCATAGTGTGGTCCAGATTTAGGACTGGAAAGCAAGAAATAATACATAACTTGTGGCCTAGATGGTTGTATCCAGGCATCCTGTCTATACCTATGAGGAATCTTGGAGATCTTTGAAAGAGAATTTCATCAAGTGTGTCTTCCTCCATGACAACAGTTGAGTCATATTGTGTAGAGCAGTGTTTCTCAACCTTGGCAACTTGAAGATGTCTGGACTTCAACTCCCAGAATGCTGGCTGGGGAATTCTGGGAGTTGAAGTCCAGACATCT